TGGCCAGTCCCATTTTATTTTATTTAAATTAAAAAAAAATTGTCGGGGGCCGGGGAGATGGCTCAGTAGAATAAGCGGTTGCCTGGCAAGCCCAAATGTCTGAATTCAATCCCCCCCCCAAAAAAAACTAATAGGGTTAAATTAGAAGAGTGCCAGGACCAGCTTGAAGGGGCTTCTATCAATGAGCGCTTCAAAAATATCAGTGATAGCCCAGTACTATTTTTTTTTTGGTTCCGAAAAAAAAAAAAATTGTGATGAGGTCCTCCTACTAAGTTGCCCTGGTGGAATTTCAACGTGACCCTTCTGCCTCAGCCTCCAATAGTACTGGGCTATCACTGATGTTTTTGAAGCGCTCATTGATAGAAGCCCCTTCAAGCTGGTCCTGGCACTCTTCTGATTTAACCCTATTAGTTTTTCAACTTTTTCTCATTTTTGGCACAGGAAAAAGTCTCAGGTTTACCTGTACATTCTTGACCTAGACATGGAATCAGTCATTCCTTCAAAGATCTCAAGGTTTATTTATTTTTTGTGGTTTTGAGACAGGGCTCACTATGTACTTCAGGATGGTCTTGAACTCACAGCAACCCTTCTGCCTCAGCTTTCTGAGTGCTGATATTACAGACATCCACCAAAATGCCCAGCCTCAAGGTATTTTTTTTAAATGATGACAGATTTTTAAAAACATTTCTATTCTTATTAGTATCAGTTACAGTATATAACAATTACATTCCTTGTGGAGAATTAGTCCATGTACATATCGCATCTTTTTTCATCCCTTTCACCTCCATGATGATACAGATATTTTAAGTTTCACAGGATGGATTATTTCACATGCAAGTGCTCAGAGGGTTAGACTGTCGCTTCAAAACTTTGTAAGAATCTGCTTTGTTAAAAAGGAGAAATAAAAAGGAGGAGAAATGCTATAAAATATTTAATAATTAACACCTTTTAAATATTAAAATGCTTTCTAAACAGAATTTAATATTTTCCTCTCAGGAGGATAAAAACAAGTACAGAAGAAGCATGTCAACAATTTAATAAAAGTACTAAATAATCAGATCATAAGTTGATTGAATATCTTTGTCACTGAAGAATCTCCTGAGGAGGACAGAGGGACTGTGGCAGCATTTTGCACTGACAGAAAGACCTGTAGGCAGTAAGGCCTGGGAACTATGTCTCCAGGACATTATGAGAACCACGGAGTCCTTACCATTTCTGCAGTTCTTCTCATAGACTATGTTGCCACTAGCATCTTCCTTTTGGCATCGGGGGAACACGAGGTTCACTGCAAATGTAATGTTTGAGCCCACCAGCGCCGGGGAGTTGCTGGTCAGGACTGCTTGCACACGGCCTCCTAGGCAACAAAGAGTAGAGCTTACTGATCCCTTAGCTCTTTTTCCTTTTGTACACTAATATGTGTTTAAAGTTGAACCTATGAAAATATCTTTTGGTGATACATCAAGATTATTTTCTGGATGCCTAACTTTAGCATTCAGAGTACAACATTCTGGAGGATGAACCCAGAAAAAGCCAGACTAATGAATTCTCTAACCACAAAAAGAACATTTTACTTAAAATAATTTTTAAAACTGCTCAGTTGGGCTGAGGAGACAAATGTTAAAAATGTTAAAAGTTTATATTTTTAAATCTTAACGAACAATGGCTAAAGGAGTCATTTCTTCATCTTAATGGAAAGCTATCTAAGATACTTTCTGATAAAGCAAGCTTTTTTTTAGTGCTGAGGATCGAACCCAGGACCTTGTGCATGCTGGGAAGATGCTCTGTCACTGAGCTACAACTCCAACTTTTTAAAAACTTGATTTGGAGACAGGGTCTTACTAAGTTGCCTAGGTTTGTCTTGAACTTGCAAGTCTCCTGCCTCAGCCTCCTCAGCAATGGGATTCCAGGCAAGTGCTGATGCCTCCCTGCCTTATGAAGCAGGACATACTTTTGAAAGTGGCTGAAGGCCATACTTTCAAAATAATCAAAAACCACTTCAGCATCAGAGACCTTTTAAAGCTTACCATTCTTGTGTTTGTTAAACAGCCTTGAGGCTAAACTTCTTGCTCCTCTAAATATTCTGAGGGCTATGAATTTAGAATTTTCTAAGATGATTACACATTGTTTTATGACTTAAAGTGATAATGTTGGGGTAGAGGACAGATTGCCACATTTTGGTACCACTCACTTGGCAACTACAGCACTGTCATTGAAGAAAACAACACAAACCGCGAGACCTAGAAAGCTCTGTAATCCACAAGACTTGTCAAAGTAGGAAACCATAGGTCTTTGGGTCAAGTTTTTTGATTTACCTTTCCAGGAGCTTTTCCACTTTGCATCGCCCTTCTTCCACACTGGGTAGAGTCTTTCATCCCAGTCGTTTTCATCAGAAGACCAGCCCTGCAACTGGCTGTGCTCCTGCTTATAACCAGGATATCTTTCATTGCCCAGCACATCACGAAACCCTGTGTCAGGATTGGAAAGACCAGTTATTTTGTCTATTGGGTTTCTCATTTAGTTATTGCACAACAATGGTCAAAGAAGCTTTACAATTTCTACTGTTGGAAAACAACACATAATATAGCAAATAAATAGACAATACTTAAAAAAAACCCAAATCTCCTGGAAATATCTTGAATGCCACATTTGGAACCTATCTCTTCATGTACTTTAAAAGAATGAAAACATTTTTTTAAGATTTTTTGTTTGTTCGTTTGTTTGTGCACGTTCTCACTACGCAGCTCAGACTCATAGTGATCTCCCTGATTTCTGTCTCCTTAGTGCTTGGATTACAGACGTACACCACCACTGCAGACTCCTTTGCTGGCTCAGTGCACCAGGGGGTGGGGCTGGCACAGTATGTGGTGCCAGGCATTGAACACTGTGAAAACATTTTTTTTTGAAAGCTAATATTTTTTTAAAAAAAGCTAATTTGTTTTTTAGCCATCACTTAGCTTCTCAATATCTGTCCTTCAAATATTTGTATTTGCTATAATATCATTAAGAAAAAAATTTTTGGGCTGGTGAGATGGCTCAGTGGTCTAAAGCATCTACTTGAAACAAGCGTGGCAAAGCACAGGGACCTTGGTTCGATCCCCCAGCACCACATGCCAGCCAGCCCCGCCCCCTGGTGGGCTGAGCTGGCCACACACACACACACACACACACACACACACACACTAAATAAATAAATAAATGTTTAAAAAAAAAAAAGAAAAAAAATTTTGAGACTGTCTCACTATGCAGTTTGGGCTGGTCTTGTTTTCACTTTTGTAGCCCCTACACTGGTCTTGAACTTTCAGAGATCCTCCTAGCTCAGCCTCATGTACCACCATGGGCCCACATCCAGGGCCGGGATGGTGTGCCTGCAGATCTGGGGTTGAGACCGCATGGCATGTGGGGCCAGCGATCGAACTCCTTTTGCTTGCTAGGTAGGTGCTTATGCCTCTGAGCTATCTCTCCAGCCCCTCATTAAGAAAAATTCTGATGCCAATGTTCTTCCTAGTAAGTTTTGTACCTTTTGTCAGTTTGAACTACTCTGTTGGCTGAAGAAATACTTAGCCTAGGATTCTGAGAGACACACACTAGTACTGGAGATTCTACTCTGAAACAAGGTTTTTATAGCCCAAAAGATAATCTGTCTTCGTGAATGTTCCGTAGGCATTTTTTAAAATTTTTTTTTCCATAGGCATTTTTGTAGTCCACATTTTTTGTAGGGCTCTGCATTCAATCTCTAGCAAAGGAGGAAAAAAAGTCAATTGTGTCTAGTTGATAGTGTTTCAAATTTTTTATATGCCTATGGATTTTACAGTTACTTATTATTTTGGTTACTGAGAGAGGAATCTTGAAACCTTCAACTAAAATTGTGCATTTGCCAATTGGCTTATTTTTTCTTCTAGTTCTGTCAGTTTTGCTTTATGTATGTATGTATGTATTTATTTATTTTGTATTTTAGGGAAGGGTCTACAGGGTGTTCAGGGTCTCATTATTAGATCGGATTCATAGTGATCCGCCTGTTTACAGCCTCCCAAGAGCTGGGATTACAGGCATGCACCACCACACCCAGTCTCAATTGCTGTCTCAGCACGCCCTGGGGTTGGGGCTGGCACAGCAGGCCTGGGGATCAAACCCCCAGCCCCTGTGCCTACTTGCAGGCACTTTAATCCACTGAGCTATTTGGCCAGTCCTGCTTTATGCATTTTGAAGTTCTGTTAGGTGTATATACATTTAGATTTATTGTCTTTTTAATGAATTGATTTCTCTCTTTAGGAATTGACATTCTTTATTCCTGATAATATTCTGTCTTCTGAACAAAATTTTGATGCCAATGATTAGTCTTTTTTAAAAAAAAATTAAAAATCATATTTATTTATTTGGTATAGGGTCTCATTATGCAGCTCACACTCACAGTGATCCTCCTGTCTCAGCCTCCTCAGCGCTGGGAGTACAGGTGTGTGCCACCATCCCTGGTTTCAGTGGCTTGCTCAGCACAGGGCTAGCACAGCATGTGGTACCGGGGATCAAACCCAGGTCTTTGCACTTGCCAGGCAGGTGTTTAGACTGCTGACTCCCAGGCCCTAATTAATGATTAGTCTTTAACTAATATATCTTTTTATCACATGGTACATCTGGCCCTTTTTGTCCCATCTTCCCCTGCCCCCTACTTTTATGTTGACTTTAATGTGAAGGTGCTCCATTGATTTTTTTTTGTCTTTTTGAGACAGGGTGTCTCACTATACAGTTCAGGCTGGCCTTGAGCTTACTTTGTAGCCCAGGCTGACTTCAAACTCACAATGATCCTCTTGCTTCACCTTCCTTGTAATCAGTGCTGGGACTACAGGCATGCGCCACCACACTGGGCTCCCTGTAAGTATTATTTTAGCTCTTGCACTGAGATATATCAGTGGTAACTATATATCTTTTAGGGCTTTCAATGATAACAAACAGCCTGTTGTGACATGAGTCCATCTTGTTTTTTCTTTCTTCTTTTCTTGTACTTTTTAAAACTATATTTGGATTCTATTTTATTTCCACTACTGATGTATTGCTTTCCCATTTCACCTTGTTTTGGTTTGAATGGTTTACTCTCAAAAGAGTTCACAGGGCTGGGGAGATGGCTCAGTAGAATAAGCGCTTCCCTGGCAAGCACAAGGGCCTGAGTTTAATCCCTGGTTCTGCCAGAAAAAAAGAAAGAAAGAAAGAAAGAAAGAAAGAAAGAAAGAAAGAAAGAAAGAAAGAAAGAAAGAAAGAAAGAAAGAAAGAAAGAAAGAAAGAAAGAAAGAAAGAAAGAAAGAAAAAAAAGAGTTTACAATATTATACTTTTTTTGTTTTTGTAGTACCTGGGATCAAACTCAGGACCTTGCGCTTACAAGGCAGGCACTTATGCCACTGAGCTATCTTCCAGGCCACCTATACTTCTTTCTAATCCTGAATTTCTCTCTATCCTTTCACCTTGCTTGAAAATCCTGGTGGTCATGTGGCCTCTTCTTTGGATGTCATAGAAGATTGGTTCATTCAATTCTTTTTTATCTCTTGCTGGCAGAGCCTCTATTATAACCGATCAAAACCCCAGAGGCTCATTAATCTAGCTCACACTTTCCTTACAGCCAGTGCAGAGGCAAATGATTAAATCCTGGCCAGTGAGAGCTGGGAGGAGGGCTTCTGGATGCCTTTGGGAAAAGTTCTCCTCCTTTTTCAGAATAAGCAGGTAAGAACTATTTTTCTTTTCCTTTTCAGAATTGATTTGGGTGATGGCGGTATAATGACATGATATCTGAACCTGTGACAGTCATATTAACTCTGAGGACACAAATGTGAGGAAATAGCTGACACATCAAGGGCATCAGTAGAAAGCTGCAAAAGCAAGAGTCTTGCATAACATTGGTGAGCCATCGCTCAAGCTCTGGCTGCCGCTGGACTGATTGCTTGAGAAATAAGTGTCTTACTCAGCCTATTCTGTTAGAGCCAAAAGCTAATTAGCTGTAACCCTCGGTCAGTTCTGAGTCATATGCCATCTTAAATTGCTCTCTTGCCAATTTATATGGTCCTATGTGTTGGCTCAGCCGTGAACTCATAGAGATCAGGAAATCTGTGTCCTCTTCTTAAGGCAGAGGCCTCCCGCAAGACATGGCATTTAGTGGGCGTTCAGAAGAGTCAGGCTGAATGCCTGGCACTTGTCTCTTTCTTTGGTTCCTCTCTTAGGTCGGGGCAGGGAGCAGCAGATGGAATCGGGGAAAGCACCGAATTAGGGCTAACAGGGCTTGGTTTCTGGCTTAGTTCTGCTTTTTATATATTAATTTTATTGAGAAAGAAATAGCAATGAGACAGTTTCAAAACAGGTTAGGAGGATAGTTACAGTATTTAATATATTGCACATTGTTGTCTTTGTAGTAGTTATTCATAGTACAAGATGCAGACATGATATCTTGTCTAAACACTATTAGTTCAAAACTTTCTTCTCATTGAACTAAGAGAAAGTAGCTGTATATCTATGCTAACTATTATATATATATATATATATATATATATATATATATTCACTACAAAATGGTCCTTCATTTATATCTCCCATCTTTTATCAGAGATGGGTAGCTGCTGAGCAGGCTGGTTGATCTCAGGCTATGTGTTTTCTCTAGGCCTTCAAATGAGACAAAACCCAAATGTCCTGTGATTCTGCCCCTATTTGGAAAGAGATACTAAGTGAAAACAGGAAATTCATCTTTACTGATAAATGTTTATAATTGGAAATTCACTTGAATTGAGTCATGTGGAAAGAACTTGGATTATTTAACTCAAACCCCTTCACTTAGTAGATGAACAACCCAGGCCTCAGAGAATAGTGTGAATCACCTCTAAGGTCATCTGTAATCTGGAGGAAATGAAGATTCACATCTTTGCCTTCCCAGGATTGGCTCTTGTCATTGTTCCAGAGAATATTCTTTCTTATATCCTGAGAGAAAGTTGTTTCCATATATATAATCAAAACACAAATTTCTCCTCTGCTTTTAAATGTCAGAAGTCAAGGAAAAAAATACAAATTTCAAAGATGAATGTCATGGGATTGACACAGATCAATGGGACAGAACAGAGAATATAGAAATAGACCTGTGCTGGTATGCTCTACTAATTCTTGACAAAGAAGCAAAAATAATTCAATGGCAAAAGGTAGACTCTTCAACAAATGGTGCTATAAAAATGTAATAAGCATAAGTGAAATCTTCAGGATTTAGCCAGCATAGTTTTGCACACCTGTAACCCCAGCCCTTGGGAGGTGGAGGCAGAAGGATCACCGACAGATTGAGGCCAGCCTGGGTAATGGAGTGAGTGCAAGATCAGCCTGAACTACATAGTGAGATCCTGCCTCAAAAAACCACAAACAAAGCAAACTTCAGGATTTAGAGATAGATAAGAATTCTTCTTAGACTTGACACCAAAAGTATAATCCATAAATGGAAAAATTGATACAATGTATTGGATTTCAGTAAAATAAAAATGCTCTGCTCTGTGAAAATGCAAGCAGAAATGATGAAAAGGAGAGCTACAGACTAGGACAAATTGTTTGAACACCACATTTCCAACAGAGGACCAGCATACAAAATACATGAAAAATTTCCATGGGCTGGGGAGATAGCTCAGCAGTCTAAGCACTGGCCTGATAACTGCAAGATTCTGAGTTCAATCCCTGGTACCACATGCTATGCAGCCCTGGAACCAGGGGTGGTGGTGCATTCCTGTAATCCCAGTGCCGAGGAGGCTGAGACAGGGGAATCACTGAGTCCCAACTGTGTAGTAGGACCCTGTATCAAATAAATAAATCAATAAAATTTCCAAAATTCATCACTATAAAATAAAGCATTCAAAGGCCAGCTAGATAGCTTAGTGGACTAAAGTGCCTGCTTAGGCAGGCGCAAGGACCAGGGTTCAATCTCCAGTGTACTGTGCCAGTCCAGCCCCTGGGGTGTGCTGAGATGGCTACTGAGACTAGGTGATGCTTGCCTGTAATCACAGCACTTGGGAGGCTGAAAACAAGAGGATCACTATGAGTCTGATCTGTATAGAGAGATCCTGTATGCCCTATACTAATACATAAAAAAGTTATAGTTAAAATAAAGCATCCAATGAAAAAATAGGCAAAAGACATATAACACCAAAGTGGATTACAGGTGACACACAAACACATGAGAAGTTCATTAACATCTGACAGAAAAATGCACAGTAAAATCACAATTAAATATCCCTGTAGGTCTCCCAGTGTGACCCCACCAAAAACTAGTAAGAATACAGAATGCAGTTGAAGATGTAGAGAAACTAGGTCACTCATACATTGCTGGTGGGAATGTAAACTGGTATATCCACTTTTAGAAGTGTCTTGTAAAACTCAACATGCAACTACCATATGACCACATAATTGTATTCTTTGGCATGCATCCCAGAGAAATAGATCTCATGTTCCCAAAAATCTGTACATGAATATTTATAGTGGCTTACCCACTGGCCCAAACTGGATGACCCAGATGTCCATCAATGGTCAATGGGTAAACAAACTGTGGCACATCCACACCATAGTACAGTGCTCAGCAATAAAAAGAGACAAACTATTGATGTAGGATCTTCCATGAATCTCCATGGAATTGAATTTTTTTAAAAAAAAGCCAGTCCCCAAATGTTACATACTATATAATTACCTTTTGTGGAATTCTAGAAACAACATTATTAATTTGTGGATAGTTGGGGCCAGGGAGTTAGCTCAGTAGAATAAGTGCTTGCCTGGCAAGCACAAGGGCATGAGTTCAATACCCGGTTCCGCAAAAAAAAAAAAAAAAAATTGTGGATAGCTAATTTGTAATTGCCAGGAGCTGGGAGGCGGTAGAGGAGCTGGTTTGGCTATAAATGAACCTGTGGGGATGGAGCTAGTCTGCATTTTAACACATTCAGTGCCAGTCGTGTATCTTGGTTGTGACACAAAGTTTTGCATTAGGTTATCAGGGGGGTAAACTGGATAAAGGGGACCTTTCTGTATTATTTATTACAATTTCATGTGAATCCACAATTACTCTCAAAAGCTGAATTTAAAAATAAAATAAACTCAATAGTAAATAGATATTAAAAGAAAAACAAGTGTGTGTGTGTAGGGGGTAGAGGTGGAGGGAAATATAGACTCCCATCCAGCACCCCTGAGGCTGCTGTCGGCATGGGGACTCCCGGCTCTGCCCAGCAGCAGAGAGCGGCAGGGCTGCCACACGCAGCTTCCGCAGGGCCTGCTGCCTCCTTTTTAGCAGGGCTCACTGCAAAGTGCCTGGGCATCCCTCTGCTTGCCCCACGTCCCAGTGTCTTCAGGCAGGAATGTCTGACGCTTTACGAACCCAGGAATGTCCGGGCTTACGGTAATGCCCCGCAGGCTGCGTGGAAGGCAGGCCAGGCCAGGCTCTGAGCCTCCGCGACCCTGTGCTGTCCCTCTGGCTGCAGACCGCTGGGCCTCTGTCCAGGAGGGACCTGGCGGACAAGGGAGCAGTCTGTCTCCTCACAACTCCACCGCGCGTCCCCAGTCCAGCACTTTGTTAGCCGCTCTCTCGGGAACTCTCGCTTAGTTTTGCTAATGAGGAAACGCCGCCCAGCCCCGCCATGGACAGGGAGCCCAGTCCGCTTGGCCAAGAGGTGCACCGCCCGGGGCAAGTCCGTGCCTTCTGAGGCCCATCGCCCGGGATTCCCGCACTCTCCCAAACCCCAGCCTCAGACTCTGGGTTACCAATCCCCCTGGTCCCCTTTGATCCCCCCCCAATCTGTGCCGGGTCTTCCCCGCCATGGTCGCAGTGAAGGTCACAGGAGACAGATACCCTGCGTCTGCACCCCTGTCTTCAGGGTGACCTCCCCTGGCCTGCCGGAGTCCTCTTGTGAGGTGGATGGGCCTTCTGGGGACTCATGGTCAGGCCCCTTCTTGCGTACACTTGCACTGTCTGGAGGATAGGGGCTGCTCATACCTGGGACAGCGCAAGTAGGTGACTGACCTCTCGCTCTCTTAACACTTGCTGTGCATTGGGAGGGCCAGGGAGTTTTAAACCCCACTCCCAAAGCTGCTGATGCCATTTATCCCAATCAATATTGTGACAAGTGTCACATCCTCTAAAGCATAACCTGAGTAGAGAAGCAGGTATGGGCGCTTCTCTCAGTCACCTCTTGGCAGCAGCAGCCAGCTGAAGTAGGACTCTGGAGAAAGGTCAGCAGGGTTAGCAAGAGCTTCTGGGCTAGGAGTTAGAAAGCCTGCTGCAGATCTGGGACTCTACTATTTAACCTAAGCTCTGCTGGATGAAAGACAGATGTTATTGTTGGTAGAACTGCGTTCTCTGGGTAGAGATCATCCTCCTTCCTCCCCTCACTGTCCATAAAAGCCTATGGCCCCTGCAACAGAAGGCAGCACCATGGAGCTGCGAGCTAACTGCTTCCATGAGCCCAAAGCAAAGAATGAGGGTGGAGACATTTTGCTATAGTTGCATATCCAATAGTTCACAGAGGAAGAAATGAGCATGGTCACTGGGGAGCCTGGGCCCACTCTGGCCAGGAGGACATTAGTACCCATCCCTTCAGGCCAAGAGCTAGAGAATGGGTGGAACACAGACACAGTTACTCACTTTTGGCTGCATTCAGGGGCAATCTTGCAGCCAGGAGCAGAAATCCCAGGACCCAGTAGAGACATTCCATGCTGAGCTCCCACAAGCCCGGGCAAAGCAGGCTTCCTTCTCCTCACAGGTCTTCAGAGAACAACAGCAGTCTCCTGGGCTCTGCAGCACCCCTCTCTATTTTAATGAAACTCTGGGGCCTCAGGGCAGATCATGTGATGGTATTAAGCAGCACTGCCTGATGTGTTCTCTCAAATCCAGCCTCTTACAACTCATGTGCTTGTGACTCACTCTCCCTTGGCATCTATTTATTCACTTTTTAGATGTGCATTTTTTTAAAATTTGTGCCTACATCTACCAGTTTTAAGAGAACTTTGCATCCAGTGTCCCTATTTTAATTTTCTTTACCAAATAAAAGTTCCACTCTCCAACCTCACTGATGATGAGTTTGCTGTAATCCCATCAATGTTCTAGTTTGTGTGCAGACATGCATTTTTTTCTGTAATGTGGATGACCAGCTATCCCTCATGCCAGCAAATGTTTGTATGCTCCTGTCCCCAAGAGGAGCCTGATGGGGAGGTGTCTCCAGTCATGTGAAATTTTGTTATACACATATGGCTAATAATATATGTATACTGTTTAACAAGAATGCTCTGGAGATGTAGCACCGGCTTCTAGTAGCTTAGAAATTTACTCAAAGGCACATTTAGGTTATCTGTGTAATTCCATGTAACTTCCAGAACAAGTTGTAGAACTTTGGATAACTGCTGTCACACCATTTGTATGCTGTCATTCAGGATCAATGGCATAAAACACACTGCAAATTTATTTCATGGCAAGCAGGCATTAAGGGTGAAAACAAATTTGACTGGGACATTCTGCACAGTCAAATTATTTTTGCTTATAGGTTATGCAGAAAATGTGGCAACATGAACACTTAACTGCATGTGATCTTTCTCCATGTTGTGTCCACATGACCATTTTCAAGGTATTATAAGTCCTTGTTGGGGGGTGAAGTGAAATCTGGGGTATTGACTTATGTTTCAGTTGTATTTAGGAGAACAGGAATTAAATAACCTATGAAACAAAGCCAACTGAGCAGAACTGGCCAACTTCATATTCTTAGGTCAAACAGAGCTCTTTGGAGCTTCTTTAACAGCCTTTGAAGCAAATATGAAGGGAAAATAGAGGATAAGAACACATTATTTTTGACTACATAGTTATTTTTATGGAAAAAAGGTAAATAAAATTTCATAACAAGATGATAGGACAGTAACAATAGTTAATATACATTGCATGTTATAATCTTAGGGTAGTTACTTAGAGAACAAGATGCAGGCATAAACCACTAGGAAGACAGTATGCAATGTGTTAATTATTGAAATTGTCCTACCAATTTGATTTGAAACTGTCACATTGCTATTTGTTTCTCAATAAAATTATGGAAGAAAAAGATACAGGGGAGCCGGGGAGATGGCTCAGTGGAATAAGCACTTCCCTGACAAGTGCAAGGGCCTGAGTTCAATCCCCGGTTCCACTAAAAAAAAAAAAAAAAAAAAAAAAAAAACAGGCAAAAAAAAATCTCCAAACAATATTAGCATAAGCCTTCCTCTTTCATCGAGGCACAAATAGTATTAGCTAACTTGCATTTTTTCTTTTTCCTTCCTTTCCTCATCCTAGTTTTTTCCTTTTTAGCAATTTCTTCTCATTTCACAGTATCTATTACACATTTTAGACCTTATTTACTCTTTCAGTTTCCCACACCAGGGAGACAACACAATATTTACACATTAGTCTGATTTATTTCACTAATGAGTATGGTCTCAAGTTGCAACCATTTACCTACAAAAGTTTCAAGTGTATCTTTCTTTATGGCTCAGTAGTACTGCATTGCATAAAAAGACTACCTCTTTTTATTCATTCCTCAGTTGATGGGTATTTGGATTGTTTCCAGGATTGGAAACAATTGGATTGTATCACACATTGTGCTGCTGTTGTAGTTTGGGGTGTGCAAGAGGAACAATGCAGGACATATAATTTATAGAATTATTTTTATAATAGTCAAAGAGTCATGTACAAAAAGAGTGCAGGAAATCTGTCTACACACTAAATATCAAAGAATCTATCTGAGGGCCTGGATCCCATAGCAATGTCCCGCATGAGTCCAGCTGAAGACTTAGAGCCCATAGTGATGCCCCCTACAAATCCAACTGGAGGTAAAAGCCCATAGTACTGTATCATGCAGGCCTGGTTCACATATCTGCACTGAAGAGGCCCAAAGGCCAGTGATGGAAGCTAGAAAGTCCATGCCAATGGATGAAGAGTCTGTGTTAGCAGGCTGAGAGAGCTGAACTAGAGCCAGAAGGTGATACTCAAAGTAAGACCAGAACTCTCCTGAAAAGTACCACAGCCACCCTCAGGGACAGTAAGGTCCCACATTCCTCAGATGATGAGAATAGTCAAATTTGTCAGGAAAGCCAGCATGACGAGTTCCTCCAGGAAAACCAACCGTTTCTCATCAGCTTCCTAACAATTTCTAAACCTCTTCCTCTCCAAATCCATCTCGTATGCAGCTGACAACAATCCTCAGGTGTGCCTCCTACACCCAGCACCATGCTGGTTCAGTTCAATTGGGTGTTATAATTTGACCACCAGTTGTCAATTCATCACTGCTGCTATGAACACTGGTGCACAAATATTTCTGTGGTATGATGTTTTTAATTTTTATGGTAAGATACCCCCAAGGGGAATAGCTAGGTTCAGGCTTGCATTTTTGTCTAGATTAGCCCACCCCCACCTCTAAAAATTGCAAGTATTAATCTCTTCTGTTATTATAAAGCCTTATTTTTATTTAATTATTTAGGGAAATGTGATGATAAAATTTGTCTTTTATATGTCCTCACTTTGCTAGCCAATGAACAGATGTAGGAATGACTATGGCAGTAGTCTAGGTTCACTGTTAGATAAAAGTAGACAGGAAACTGGAAACTCTTTCTTTATAAAACTTGATTCCAAAGAACTATAAATTGGAAAACCTGTCTCTTGATAATCAGCAGTTGGCAACATACAGTTTATTTTGTGTTGTTCCTTGAGATAAGGCTATTTGGGATTTAAAAAAATATACCTCAAGTCTGTTTAGTTTTGAAAAAAATCATAACTTGAAAAAGTTTGAAATAATTCACTGAAAGAAGTCAAACATCTCAATTATTTGGATTTACATAGATGATCACTCTATTAAAAATGACACCAAGGAAGGCAAGTAATAGTTGTGTTTTAGAAATGTTCACCATTGCCTCTAAGCATCTTGATGTATGTCATCTTCCCTAGTAACTACCATCCTTTTTGTTTGGTACTAGGGATCAAACTCAGGACTTTGCATTTGCCAGGCAGGCACTTATGCTGCTGAGCTATCTCCCTGGCTACCTTGAGACATGTGAGACATGTCTCATGTGAGACATGATGAGGCCAATAGCCACCCAAAGGTACACATGGAGTGGCAGACAGCTACCACACTCAGGCATCACAGCAGGCTTCAGAATTAATGTTTTTAGTTTTAGAAATTGTTCACACTGAGTGTTTTTAAGTGAGGTCATAAAAATTAGCTACGGTTTTCTCCTTACCTCTTATAAGTAGCCACTTGTTCTGTACTACAGCTATAACAAATCACCAGAAATTCAGAGTCTTAAAAAACAGATTTCTTATCTTACTCTTCTGGAAGTCAAAAGTCTGCAGTGAGTCTCACTGGGCTAAAGTAAAAAAGTCAACACTGTGGCTCTGGAGGAATCTGTTTCTTTATGTTTTCCATCTTCTAGAAGCTTCCCACACTTCCTGGCTTGTGTTCGCCTTCTGTCTCTAACACCAGCGATGGCTGATTCTTTCCTGTACTCATCCTTCTGACTCGGATTTTCCTGTTTCCCCCTTTTACAAGATGCTTGTGGATTACATACACTGGGCCTACTTGGATGATCTAATACCATCTCTTACCTTCAGTTAGTTGATCAGAGTTACCTCCACTCATCTGAAGCCTCCCTCTCCTACCCTACAACACACCGATAGATTCAGGGGTCATGGTGTGCACATCTCTGAGAGGCCATCTTCCTGTAGCAGTTATACAGTGGGTGACTCAGCAGGGAATTATACATGTGAAGAAAGGTGGACTGTGGAGGACCACCTGAGTAGGTCTCCTTGAAAGAAGAGCGATTGTCTCCATTTTGACTGAACCTGACCCTATTTCCTTGTATTGTTATGTACAGAGCTGACTAGGACTTCTGTTTATCCTTCAGTTGGCCTTAAGCAATGTATACTGGTCTAGCTGAGGTGCTGGTGATAGTCTTTGAAGGTGGTGTGTGTGTTTCCCTGGTAACTGACACCTGCTGCTCTTAATGTGAGCCGGGTCAAGACAGGACAGAAGAGTTAATGCTCTGCACCCCCCGCTGGGATCGAGCCTCAAGATATAGGCTATGACTTCTTGGGGCTTGAAAGACTACATCAAAGCTGAAGCACCAGACTTACCAAAACATTAAATACTATATAATGCAGGTTACTTTCTTTGCATATCCTTTCTGCATATGGCAGAGGTAAATGTAGGCCACCCCCTAGCTCAGCTCACAGTACTCACCTACTTCCCACAGTTCTCAGTCAATCCTCCTCAAGCCACTGTTCCACTGAATAAAACCGGGTGAGGCCCTGGGTCATCTTCTTGGTTCTGGAAAGCCATCTTTGTGGCTGGACTTAGAGCCCTTTGACTCCTCGATGATTGAAAATATAATTTAGTGTCTTTATTTTGGCCCTGGGTTGCATTGGAAGTGGTAGATTGGAATCAACTTGATGGGATTCCAATAGCATAACTTTGGGATTACAAATATTGGCTTCTTGCACTGAGACGAGGATCTGGAAGTGTCTCCTACAGTGGACCACAGGAATAATGAAGAAAGGCCCCTCCCAAAAGGGACAGATCTGCTGAAACTAACCCTCTGACATTTGGCAGAGTGGAAAGGGAAGAACAAACTCAAGATAAAGGGATCACTTCAAAGAGAGACAGCCCACGTGACTGCTGGACCAGGGCCTCTCAACGTGCTATAATCAGAGTCACGGTTTTCAGATTTAAGCCTAGCGAATGACTCAGAGACTTCTGTTTCATGTCTAGCTCTTCGGTCTCTGGTCTCTCCTGTCTGGGCGCTCTCTGCATGCATGGGTAATCAAAGTCCCTTGTTCCCAAGGTTTATTAAGCTTTGAAATGGCTTTCCCACCAAAACATTTACCCTTTACTTTTTAGGAAAAGAGGAGAAAACGGGCCACTAAAGTTAGTATATCCTTTTCAGTCCATCATCTTTGCTGTGGCTTCAAGCTGAAGGAATCAGATGCTAGATGCAGGCAGAGAATTTTTTTTTTTTAATATATTTTCTTATGGCGCTCCTGACCTTATGTGCAATCAGAGCAGTAGGAATAGAACAATGTGGACTGCCACAATTTAAATTCTAGTTTAGATCCTCAGCACCACAAGCTGCGCTGGCCCCACCCCCAGGGCTTGCTGAGATGGCAACTGAGACTGGGTGTGGTGGCGTGTACCTGTAATTCCATCGCTTTGGGGGGTTGAAAAACAGGAGAATTGCTATGAGTCCAATCTACGTAGTGAGACTGTGTAGATCCTGTACTAAATACATACAAATAAATAAATAAATAAATAAATTCTAGTTTAGAGTGCTTTCTCTGAATAACTACTAGTGTAGAAAGACAGTAAGATATATGTTTATCAATAAAACTTTGAAAAGAAAAAAAAAGAAAGACAGTAAGATAAAAGTACTTATTGTGTACTTGTGTGTGGTTTTTTGGTTTTTCTTTTCCTCCTTTGGGGTGTGTGGGTTTTGTTTGCTTGTTCTGTGGTTCTGAGGTGGGAACCTGGAGCTGGGTGTGCTCACTGAGCTACATGCTCTACTGCACAACTCTGGAGGCTACACGCTCTACTGTGCAGCTCTGGAGGCAACGGTGAATGTGCTTTCTTTTTTTCTACCATCAGTAACTGGAGGACAGTCTGACACAAGCAAGAAGTAGAATGATGTAGAAAGAAGGGTGAGAGAAGAGGGAGAGACTCTCTTGGCTTTCAGTTTAATGATAATTGTGAATTATCCAGAAATGTACCAGAGCTCTTGAATGGCAACATTTACTGGAAATACATGATAAGGTCAAGAGGAGCAGCTAGACCAGAAGTCAAAAAGGAAGCTGGCTGTGGGAGCAAGACCAGGAAACTAGAAACAGAATGCACTTTAGAACCTTATTCTCTAACCTAATAATCTGCCCATTTCTCAAGGGAATTTTTTCCACATCAGACAGAATTTAATTCAGGAAGCACTGGTGGAGGTCTACCCTCTAAAAACAGCCATCATCCATGTAGGCATGAACAGAAATTATAGGTACACAGGATCACATTGGGAGGAAAAGGCATTAGCACGTAAAAGGAAATAGTAACAAGACATTATTTGAATGTTTAGTGTGGAAAGTTCCCAACATAAATACCAACAGGGAGAATAACCAATCTCCATGTCCTATCACCTGTGGATAAATTTCAAAAAGAAAGCAGACACAAAAGCTTATATACTAGAAGCCAGGTGTAGCGGCACATGGCTGTGACCTCAACACTTAGTAGGCTGACAGAAGAGGATCACTGGGAATTTGAGGCCAGTCAGGGCTACATAGTGAGATGCTGTCTCACGGGAAAAGATAGCCTTGTGTTATATCCTCCTGTTCATAATGGTTGGGATAGGAAAATCCAGAGAAGCAGAAGCAGGCTGGTGACTGGGGGACTGCCAGGAGCAGCACAGAGGAGGAAATGGGGGGTGCTGGTTTATTTTGGAGTGACAAAATATATGGGAACTGATAGAGGTTGTCATGTATCACTGTGGATGTATAAGATGCCACCGAATTGTTCACTTTGGTTAATAGTTATGGAAATTTCACCTAGATAAAAGAGAATGCTCATTCATGATTAATTCAATAAAACTCTTCATCAGGAGATGCAGGTGTGATGCTAAAAACTGAGCAGGTGAGGAAGTACAGGTAGACCGGTAGTCAGTAGCCAGCAGGCTCCCCAGGGAGGCAGGAAGCCTAGCAGACAGCAGCTATAGGCAAAAGAAGAGGCTGCTCCATCCTGGCAGTGCTGTCCAGTAGAGGCCTAATGTCAGGCACATGTGTAAATTAAGCTTCCTGGTAGCCACATTTAAAAAGTAAAAAGAGGCTCTTCTGCACACCTGCTGACTGCTGTTCTTTCTGTGCAGCAAGCAGTGATCCAGACAAGATGGTAAAGATCAAAGTGAATGGATTTGGCCATATTGGACACCAGGTCACCAGGGCTGTTTTTAACTTTGGCAAGGTGGATGTTGTGGCCATCAATGACCCCTTCATTGACCTCAACGACAAGGTCTACATGTTCCAGTATGATTCGACCCATGGCAAATTCCACGGCACTGTCAAGGCTAAGAACGGGAAGTTTGTCATCAATGGAAAGGCCATCACCACCTTCCAAGAGCGAGATCCTGCCAACATCAAGTGGGGTGATGCTGGCGCGGAGTATGTAGTAGAGTCCACTGGTGTCTTCACCACCATGGAGAAGGCCAGGGCTCACCTGAAGGGTGGTACCAAAAGGATTGTCATCTCCATCCCTTCCACAGATGCCCCCATGTCTGTGATGGGTGTGAATCACGAAAAGTATGACAACTCCCTCAAAATTGTCAGCAACGCTTCCTGTACTACCAACTGTTTAGCCCCACTGGCCAAGGTCATCCATGACAACTTCAGCATTGTGGAGGGACTCATGACCACAGTCCTCACCATCACTGCCACCCAGAAGACTGTGGATGGCCCCTCTGGGAAGCTGTGGTGTGATGGCCCTGGGGCTGCCCAGAACATCATCCCTGTATCCACTGGTGCTGCTAAGGCCATGGGCAAGGTCATCCCAGAGCTGAACAGGAAGCTCACAAGCATGGCCTTCCCTGTGCCCAATCCCAACATGTCAGTGGTGGATCTGACCTGCCGCCTGGAGAAAGCGGCTAAATACAATGACATCAAGAAGGTGGTGAAGCAGGCATCAGATGGTCCCCTCAAAGGCATCCTGGGCTACACCAAGGACCAGGTTGTGTCTTGCAACTCCAACAGTGACACCCACTCTTCCACCTTTGACGTTGGGGCTGACATCGCCCTGAATGACCACTTTGTCAAGCTCGTTTCTCAGTATGACAATGAGTTTGGCTACAGCAACAGGGTGGTGGACCTCATGGTCCTCATGACCTCTAAGGAGTAAGTGGCTCCCCCACCACAGCCTAGTAAGACCGGAGGGATAGAGAGGCCACACTGTAGAAGTCAATGCCCTACTCAGCCCCAACACTGAGAATCTCCTCTTCACAGCTTCCATCCCAGGCCCCCTAGAAGGGGAGGGGCCTTGGGAGCCCTGGCTTGCTGCCATTGCACACCATCAATAAAGCCCACTAAATGTGGTATTAGAAGTTGAACTAGTATACCTATGAATGTCCATTTTGTATCTGTGTATTCAAAGTGGTTGGGATAGATATATAGTTGCATTCTCTTAATGAATAGAATGATTTGTTCTAATGGTGT